AAGCTGAAGGCTGCCCTAATGCCCAAGAATTTTTCTTCTAATATATCCGGGATGCTAGTACATTTTTGCTTAACATCATACCGAATAGCATTTTCCAAAAACTTCACTAGATGATATTCTTCTCGTGGAGTTATGGCATGATTGTACAGGCTGTGGAGAAATCTTTCTGCAAAACTTTTATACTCATGTTCCGATATATGACAGATAAGGTTGGACATGTACTTTGGTTGGGTCTGTAGGTAATAGAAGAGGTGCTCATAGGGTTCCAGCCTCAGTGCTTTCTTTCTCAGCTCAAGAATGCGTCGTCTGTCATAGGACATCTCCTGTTCAATGTGATATCTGTTGTTCGGCTTCAGTTTTGGGAATTGGGACACAAGTTTTTCTAGTCTACGCTTCCCATTCACAAGAGTTAATATTTTCTTGTCCCAGGTATTCACCTCCTCTTTTAGTTTTTGGATGGCGTTCATTTTAGTAGAAACTCTCTTCAGGTTATTTAGCAACAACTCTTGGAGAAAAGTGATATCCAAGGGGTGCGAGGAATGGGAATCCTTTTGGTTGGCACAAATGAATACATTTTTTGTGCTAAGCAAATCCTTGGAAAATTTTCCGGTGCATTTGCTCCCAACAATCGAGTGGATTTTTACAATGGCTTCATCATAGTCTTTGAAATATTGTTCCTTTGTTTTTTTGTTGCCTCCTGTATCCTTTTTAACCTCTTTTGCCATAGAGGAGGACAGACACTGAAAGGTTTGGTGAATATAAAAGGAGGTTAGTGTTCTATGTGTTTTTTTTTCACAGCTGTAAAACCTGTAAAATAAAAGAAAATGGTTATAATGGTGTTCTAACCCCTTCCTTACTTTGTCTAGAACTAGAAAAAACTGTTTTGAAAATATATACTGTGATATTCTGGGCATTAGCTGGGACTTGAGTCAATAAAACTGTTGTCCCAAAGCACAGTCAATATTGTGACCCTAGTGGGCTTACCTTATGCCAACTTGAAAATAAATGTAAACTGGGCTTCTTATGGCAGCAAAATAGAAAAAGTCACTGACTTACTTCAGCCGCATAATGTTCGTAGAGCAAACAAAAGTCTGCATACTGGGGATGCACTGATAAACAGTTTTTTAAGACTGAGTACGAATACCGATACTTTTTTTTCTCAAGCACTGATACCAATTACTAATATCTATTTTTAGAATAGCCACCATTCTTTTATTTGCATTTCAGCGGTACCAGTATTAGTGCAACCTTAATACATACGGTACACCCAGATAGCAGCTGTCCATACACACCGGACACCCAGATAGCAGATGCCCATACACACCGTACACCCAGATAGCAGCTGTCCATACACACCGTACACCTAGATAGCAGCTGTCCATACACACCGTACACCCAGATAGCAGATGCCCAATACACACCGTACACCCAGATAGCAGATGTCCATACACACTGGACACCTAAATAGCAGATACCCATACACACACCCAGACACGCAGATAGCAGATGCCCATACACACTGTACACTCAGATAGCAGATGTCCATACACACCGTACACCCAGATAGCAGATGTCCATACACACCCTACACCCAGATAGCAGATGTCCATACACACCGGACACCTAGATAGCAGATACCCATACACACCAGACACGCAGATAGCAGATGCCCATACACACTGTACACTCAGATAGCAGATGTCCATACACACCGTACACCCAGATAGCAGATGTCCATACACACCCTACACCCAGATAGCAGATGTCCATACACACCGGACACCTAGACAGATGTCCATACACACCCAGATACCTAGATAGCAGATGTCCATACACACCGTACACTCAGATAGCAGATGTCCCATACACACCGCACACCTAGATAGCAGATGCCCATACACACCACACACCAGATAACAGATGTCCATACACACCGTACACTCAGATAGCAGATGCCCATACACACCGCACACACAGATAGCAGATGTTTTATACACACCCACGCAGATAGCAGATGTCCATACACACCGTACACTCAGATAGCAGATGCCCAATACACACCGTACACCCAGATAGCAGATGCCCATACACACCGTACACCCAGATAGCAGATGCCCAATACACACCGTACACCCAGATAGCAGATGCCCAATACACACCGTACACCCAGATAGCAGATGCCCAATACACACCGTACACCCAGATAGCAGATGCCCAATACACACCGTACACCCAGATAGCAGATGCCCATACACACCGTTACACACAGATGCCCACACACCGCACACCCAGATAGCAGATGTCCATACACACCGTACACGCAGATAGCAGATGCCCATACACACTATACACTCAGATAGTAGATGTCCATACACACCGGACACGCAGATAGCAGATGCCCATACACACTATACACGCAGATAGCAGATGCCCATACACACTATACACGCAGATAGCAGATGTCCATACACACTGTATACCCACATTGCAGATGCCCATACACACCCTTTGCACCCAGATAGCAGATGCCCATACAGACACCTTACACCCAGATAGATGCTGATACACACCATATACCCAGATAGCAGATGCCCATACACCCCATACACCCAGGTAGCAGATGCCGATATATATCGTACACCCAGATAGTAGATGTGCACAGACACCTAGTAAGCAGATGCTCATACAGAAACATAGCAGGCTGAGAAATGTCAGCAGACAGGGAAGACTTACTGTCTCCTCTGCTCTCCTTCCTCCAGTAATCAGTGAGTGGGAATATCACAGAGCAGACTCTGCAGAGGGGGACACCAAAACCCATTTCAATGGGATTAGTTCTGAGCTGTGGAAGCTGCCATGACATCCAGCTCCTCCTCCATGATTCCCACAGCTAGATATGACCTCACATCCATCATTCCCAGCATGGAGCTCTGGAAAGTGGTGAGGAGTAGCCAATGCAGTATAAACCTGGGGCTCCTTTGCTCTCCAAGCACTCAGCAATAGTGCCAGCACTACATCACTGCCTATAGACCGGCCAAGTCTTCATTGTACAGAGCGTGGAGCTGTCAGCTGTAGTCACTTCCGGTATTAGTTTCAGGTATTGGAGCATTTGTACAAGTTCTGATACTCATGGAAATGCTTAGTATTGGTGCTGATACCAATAGCGGTATCAGTGTCAGTGGAACCCTACTAAACACATAGCCGCAGCCCTATCACCCAACCATGCAAGAAGTGAGCCTCCTCCTGTCCATACTACACCCAAGGCAACCTACCCATACCTGAGACCCCCTCCTCCTCTTCCTATTTCTTTTTCACTATTCATTACCCCGCATTGATACATAAAGGACCCACTTAATATACCTGCCATCCTGGATATATCCCTTCTAACTTTAAAGAGGTTCAGGTAAAAGTGAAATCCAAAGCCTGTCCACACTGGTCCTAATAAAATAATATTGCGGGGAGCCAGTTTTACACTATATACCATTCTGCTACATATACAGATCAGTCACACGTTATCCGGCTGTATGTACACAATGTAAAACAAGCATATGAAGTCAATGAGAAACAAAAAAAAAACTTTCAAAATAAATACATGTGGGCCTAAAGTGCAGCTGTGCCCAGACTATGGAAGGTAAAGTATCCCTAAATGCTTAACAAGCAGTAAGAGAGTGTTAAAACAAGGCCCCGGCCCCTCTAGCTGCAAAATGTGAAGTAATTAATCCTCAAAGATCACAAAGATGATAAAGCGCTTGCTATGTGTTTCCATTAGGGGGCAGCACCTGCTGTGTGTTTCTATTATAGGGCTGGAAGGCTGTCAAGATTTTGCTCTCCATAGAAAATAATAGGGAGAGAAGCTGACATTTCACTGTTGTGAGTGTTTGTGCACAATGCTTGTGGGTAGAGGTGAATGAGAAAAGCAAGGTTTTACTGCTTGTTAAAAATATGGAAATATGGGGATAAAGTTTCTTACCTGTTGGATAAGGTTCAGCGTCGATGGTAAATGTAATTTTTGGAGCACTTTAATGCAGATAAAAATAAGATCGTAAAGAAAATGGCTTTAGCAGTCTAAAGCAGCACTGTTCACCGTGACAACCAACAAGTGAACTGAGTGTCTGGCTGCAGTTACCAGCTATACTAGCTCTGGCTGCACTATGGTCACATGACCCATGGTCACATGACCCATGGTCACTATGATGCTATTTTTAGCTCGAACAGCTTTGGCTAAGGATCCCAATAATATGTTACATAAATGGTTATACGCTATAACTCTCAGTAATAATAATAAAGGGATCAATTCACAAAGCTTTACTTAACACCTTTATTTAAGTATCTTTTTATTGTGATCACACGACTTTATTATTCAAATTCAGCTCCATAGAAAATACCTGTAATGTTTTATATAGCAAATATTTATCCGTAGCCTTGTGTGTTAGCTTTGTGAACAAGCCTATAGGGCGATGAAAAAGGGTCACCTTAAATCAATAAATCCCCCAAATGTTTATTTTAGGCAGTTTTTATTTAAAATTGTACACTCAGTGCTCTTCCCCATCCTAATCTTCAAATCTCAGTGGGCTCAACTGAAAATAACTGTCACTTTTTTGAATATACAGACTACAATCTGCTGGTAAGGCATGGTACGGAGAATGGGCAACACACCTTTATAAATGGTGTGCCTGTACTGATGCAGGGCCAGAGCCATGTTCATTGAGCTTTTTTAATTGCTAGCCTACAGGGCACTTATACCCCCTTCCTGCCCAGGCCAATTTCCAGCTTTCAGCGCTGTCACACTTTGAATGAAAATTGTTCAGTCATGCAACAGTGTACCCATATGACATTTTTATCATTTTTTTGTGACAGATAGAGCTTTATTTTGGTGGTATTTAATCACCTCTGGGGTTTTTTTATTTTTTCTTAAACCAAAAACCACTGAAAATTTTGAAAAAAAAAATGTTTTTTCTTAGTTTTTGTTATAAAATTTTGTAAATAAGTGTTTTTTCTCTGTCACTGATGTGTGTTAATGAGGCTGCAGTGATGGGCACTGATAGGCTGCAGTGATGGACACTGATAGGTTGCACTGATGGGCACTGATGAGGAGGCACTGGTAGGTGGCACTGATGGGCACTGAAAGGCAGCACTGATACATGGCACTGATAGGCGGCACTGATAGGCGGCACTGACTGGCACTGATAGGCGGCACTGACTGGCAGCACTGATAGGTGGCACTGATTGGCATTGATAGGTTGCACTGACTGGCACTGATGGGTGACACTGAAAGGCAGCTCAGGTGGGCACTGATATGTGGCATTGATGTGCACTGGTAGGCACGGATATGTGGCGCTGCTGGGGCTACACTGATCACCAGGCACACTGATCATCAGTGCCCTGATGATCAGTGTACATGTCCCCTCCGCGGAAAGCCGATTACCTGCTCTCCTCTTCTCTCTCGAGCTGTCAGCGTGATAGTGGGACAATTGGCTTCTCAGCTGTTCCATGGCCAGGTGTGTGTTATTCCCTCATTATCCCAATTACAATGAGCAGATTCATTTTTCAAGGGTGCTATTTGCATTTGGAATCTGTTGCTGTCAACTCTCAAGATGAGATCCAAAGAGCTGTCACTACCAGTGAAGGAAGCCATCATTAGGCTGAAAAAACAAAACAAGCCCATCACTGATAGAAAGCAAAAACATTAGGCGTGGCCAAAACAACTGTTTGGAACATTCTTAAAAAGAAGGAACGCACCGGTGAGCTGAGCAACACCAAAAGACCCGGAAGACCACGGAAAACAACTGTGGTGGATGACTGAAGAATTCTTTCCCTGGTGTAGAAAACACCCTTCACAACAGTTGGTCAGATCAAGAACACTCTCCAGGAGGTAGGTGTATGTGTGTCAAAGTCAACAATCAAGAGAAGACTTCACCAGAGTGAATACAGAGGGTTCACCACAAGATGGAAACCATTGGTGAGCCTCAAAAACAGGAAGGCCAGATTAGAGTTTGCCAAACAACATCTAAAAAAGCCTTCACAGTTCTGGAACAACATCCTATGGACAGATGAGACCAAGATCAACTTGTACCAGAGTGATGGGAAGAGAAGAGTATGGAGAAGGAAAGGAACTGCTCATGATCCTAAGCATACCACCTCATCAGTGAAGCATGGTGGTGGTAGTGTCATGGCGTGGGCATGTATGACTGCCAATGGAACTGGTTCTCTTGTATTTATTGATGATGTGACTGCTGACAAAAGCAGCAGGATGAATTCTGAAGTGTTTCGCTCCTCACAAGACCTCCTTCTCTCTAGTTCCCTGGTCTCCTCCTCCCATGCCCGCCTCCAGGACTTCTCCAGGGTGTCACCCATCCTCTGGAACTCCCTTCCCCAACGCATCAGATTATCACCTACTCTCCTCTCCTTTAGGCGCACCCTGAAAACCCATCTCTTCAGGGAAGCCTACCCCCTGCTAACTTGACCCACCTCCTCCACTCTTCCTACCACTCCATCCCCCACAGCTATCTCCTCCTGTACCACTATCCCGTCCCTTCTAGATTGTAAGCTCGAAAGAGCAGGGCCCTCGATCCCCTCATGTTTTGCATTGTATTGGTATTGTTCTGTCACATGTTCTGTCCCCCTTTGTAATGTACAGCGCTGAGTGAACTATTGGCGCTTTATAAATACTGTATAATAATAATATTATCTGCTCATATTCAGCCAAATGCTTCAGAACTCATTGGACGCCGCTTCACAGTGCAGATGGACAATGACCCAAAGCATACTGCAAAAGCAACCAAAGAGTTTTTTAAGGGAAAGAAGTGGAATGTTATGCAATGGCCAAGTCAATCACCTGACCTGAATCCGATTGAGCATGCATTTCACTTGCTGACGACAAAACTGAAGGGAAAATGCCCCAAGAACAAGTAGGAACTGAAGACAGTTGCAGTAGAGGCCTGCAGAGCATCACCAGGGATGAAACCCAGCGTCTGGTGATGTCTATGCGTTCCAGACTTCAGGCTGTAATTGACTGCAAAGGATTTGCAACCAAGTATTAAAAAGTGAAAGTTTGATTTATGATTATTATTCTGTCCCATTACTTTTGGTCCCTTAACAAGTGGAAGGCACATATGCAAACTGTTGTAATTCCTACACCGTTCACCTGATTTGGATGTTAATACCCTCAAATTAAAGCCGACAGTCTGCAGTTAAAGCACATCTTGTTCGTTTCATTTCAAATCCATTGTGGTGGTGTATAGAGCCCAAAATGTTAGAATTGTGTCGATGTCCCAATATTTATGGACCTGACTGGTGGTTAAAGACAACAATCCCATGATTTCTTTTTTTATGTCCAATTGTTTATTTGTTCTGTTTTATTTTCAGAATACATTGAAACATTAAGCCCTGGTTCACATTGGTGCAACTTGTCATGCGATTTGACAGTTCTACATCGCATGACAAGTCGCACCCAATTGTCTGCAGTGGAACCGTTCGTGTCGAAGCGATTATGAAAAAGTTCCTGCACTACTTTTTGCCAATTGCATTGCAGCTTGCATAAACGTCTGTTAAATCGAGTCGCAAGCAGTAATGAAATCTGTGCAAATTACAGTGATCTGAAGCTTTGAAATCGCACTGAAGTAGCGTGATTTCAAAGTCGCAGAGGTGTGAACCAAGGCTAAACTTTGTAAATTTCAATAAAAGCTGAAAGAATTTGGGTGTTCTAAAGCTTTCGATCAGTAGTGTATATACATTCAATTACTGCATCTTTGTCGCTGTTGGTTTCTGAACTTGAAATTTAAAAGCTTTCTATTAAAATATATTCATGCAAAAAGCTTCTTTCTACTCCGTTGAAAAAACTGAATCGCACCAGGTTCACCGTGTGAAGTTTCCGACAGCTTTACGTCAGTACAAAATGGTTGGGTTTCACAATAAAAATCATGTGATACTGAACAGCAGCAGAGCACAGACTGTGAAGAAGGGGGGGGGTGTTAAAATTATTCCACTCCTTAATAAATAGGCCTGTTTACAGAATCTTCTCTCTGTTTTCAGGCTGATGCAGGACTGGAGTAATAGATGATCCATTAAGTGCTTATTGTCTGCCCAGAAATAGCATCCAGGGCTGTGCGCTGATAATAAAGTGTGCTAATTGTTGAAGGTGAAGTGTGTTTAGACTTCCTTGTATACCGCCAAAGACTCATTTAATTATCCCCTGCTATCTAATGACCGATTAGCAAATTCATGGTTTTTCATCTTCATAAAATAATTTGGTAATGATATTCTAAATGGAAGGAAGGCCATATGAGTTAATAATGACCTTTTCTTAGAGTCCCCATCAGCCTTGCGCTCTTATATCCTGCGGTATTTAGATACATTTACTGCATGTTCCATCTGATGTACATTAGTTGCAAACAGCATGATCAGCTGGCTGTGTAAGGGTTAACTAGGGTCGATGCTAGATGCATTTATTGTCACAAGGAAAAATGTTCAGACATATTTATATAGTATACAAGATAGTCATAGGCACAGGTCCATGTAAATAATGAGGAACTGTAGTTTTTAGTCTTACATTTCCTGCTGACCCCATAATGCACATGTGCATGCACAGCCACCTGAGTTTGTGTGCTGAGAGCGTGCTTCCAATCATGTGACTGCTGTGAGAGCCACAGTCACAGAGGTCACATGATAGAGAAGCCACATTGCCTCCTGGACATTAAAACCCACTTAAAGCTGACCTTCACCCTAAATTAAGTAAATTTTCCCCTGCCTTCTACCTCTCACATTTGAATATTATTTTTATTTTGTATTATTCAGAGTTTAGAATGACGTTTGCCCTCACCCCACACCTTATTCTGCACATGCACAGTTGTGCTCAGGCATAGAGCCCTTTCTCCCATGCATGTGCAAAGACTGAGCTAGTATGCAAGTCCCAAAGCTCGGTGTGTCTGCAACATGCACAGAAAATACCATGCAGGTGTACCACAGGGCTCTTCCAGGACCCAAAGGTGGGTTGATTCTACTTGCATATCTGTGCATGCACCAAAGTAACAAACATGGCAGGGCTGTGAACAAAAGGGGACTTGTTCCTCTTCAAAGGGCTGCTGACAGATGGAGTGAATGGGTAGCCATTTTCAGCCTGAGGAACTCTTGCAATAATTTTCAGATTTGGGGAATCTCTGCTAAATCTATTTCATTGGTGGTTAGTAGGAAGAATGTCCCTCCCCCACCTCCTTATAGCAGTGGTCAGAATGCTATTATGGTCAGAATGCCACCATTACAAACATAAAAGAAAACATTGTGTTCATGCAGCTATGCAGGCACCATCAGATGAGAGGTCAATCAGCCGCTGCTCTATAAGCCCATGGCAATCTCTGGAGGAGCCCTTGTTGAGAAAGGGTGGGTTAAGGTATACATGTGGAAGTAATAGTCAAGTAGACAGAATTTTATCAATGTGCGTTTTATAGTTTTAAAAGTCTTGTTCCTATGTATAGCAATTAAATGTCTGCATGGGACAGCCATGTTTGTTTATTACATATGCAGGCTCTTCTTCCTGCTTTGCCCCATTGCTTTGCTTTACTGTTGTCCTCTTTGTAGACACGAGCCTAATGTCAAGCATCACTGAACACTGTGTGCTATATAACTGGGATTGTGTTCCAACATCATCTGACTAGGAAGACTAAAGTTGGCAATACACAGAGAGGCAGAGAAATGAATGTGATTGTAAAGGTTATAATTAAAAAAACCAAACATGGTATACAGTACTTACCTGCTCTGTGCAGGTAAGACCCTCTTCTTTTTGGGTCTCCCTCTGGCAGTCCTGGTGTCTCCCCCCTGCCCAGTGCCCCCAGTAGTAATTATCTTGCTATGGGGGCAATCAAGCAGGCTCGCTCCTGAGTCGCACTCATGTGAATGGACATTGTCACAGAGCTCGATTCGACCCCCGTCCCTACTCTCTCCTCATTGGTTCTTTGGCTTTGATTGACAATAGCAAGAGCCAATGGCTCCTTCTTTTTTTTTGAGCAAATGAGAAGAGAGATCCTGGTGAGCCATTACTCTCTAGCACGTTGCTGGATCGAGATGGGGCTTGGGTAAGCATAAGGGGGTGCTGGTGGGGAGCTATAGAAAGTTTGAGCCTTTCACTTTAATCTATTCCTCCATGCACAAGGAATTCTCGCTGCCAGCAGCAGCTGCTTCATACCCAGACAGTATTGATTGGATGCAGACAGTGTTCCAGCAAAAATCTGTCCAGCTGGTTCCTTGGACAAGTCAATTGGAAGTTTGATTTTGTCAAGTAGGAGTGCTGACAGGGTCACCCTCAGTGAGGCTACTTTCACACTGAGGAGTTTTTGAAGCGTTTTTGTTTTAAAAAAGTGCCTGAAAATCTCAAGAATAATGCTTCCCTATGTATGTGAATGCATATG